GAAAAAAGAAAGCAAGGATCTGCAGAAAATAAGAAAAAGAACGAAAAGGAGAAGAAAGAAAGAGAGAAAATAATGGAAAACACCCAACGACCGAAAAGAATCTAAAACGGAAATATGAAGAGAGAAAAAAATGAAAGCTAGATTCTTCACGATAAAAAGAGTGATAAACAAACAAACAAAAAAATGGAGAGAAAGAGAAAGACTTGGAAATAAAATTTAAAAAATACCAAAAGAAACCACGAAAACCTCGAGTGTGAAATATAAAAAACAAAACAAAACAAAAAAACTGGAGCATCCTCAAGAAAACAAACAAAAACAAAAACAAAAAAAATTATTTAAACCGTCAAATACTAGTAAAGAATGAAAAAAAAATCAGGAGAGACACAAATCACAAAATATAGACTCAAGTACCGCAGAATAAAGAATAAAAAAGGGGAAAAAACAGACGTATGAAACAACAACAAAACTCAAATTACCAGCAACGAAAAAAAACAAACAAAAAATAACAAATAAAAACAAACAAAACAAAACAAAAACAAAATAAAACGAACAAAAACAAAACAGCAATAACGACACCAAACCACAAAAAACAAGACTCCCTCAAGTCACCTCCAGCGTGAATGGCCACAGAACCGCGAAAGTCCTCTGCTTGGGAGCCGGCGCGCGGGAGACGAGGGTGACGGACTCGAGGTAGTAAGGCCACGTGAAGTCCACCACGCTCTCCCTGCTGCCTGGGAGAGGAACGGGAGGTGAGAGAGAGAGAGAGGGATAGGTAGAGAGAGAGTGAGTGAGTTAGAGAGAGAGAGAGAGAGAGAGAGAGAGAGAGAGAGAGAGAGAGAGAGAGAGAGAGAGAGAGAGAGAGAGAGAGAGTCAAAGTCATTTACAATGGTTCTTCTTTTTACATAGATTGTGGCATCGTACAGTAATACAGAATATATAGAAACAATAGCAAATGCATTGGTGGGAGAGATATAAAATAAATAAAAAAGAATATGATGGTAATATCATTAGAAATAGCCCCTTATAGTCATAGCCCGGGCGAGGCTCTGCTTCGCAAATCAGACAAAAAAACAAAACAAAATAATAATAAAAAAAAATAAATAAATAGAAATAGAGTTACATGGTTTGGCTTCGCGAATGCCTCATGTCATTGACAATTTAAGAGATACTCCTTTAATTTCTTTTTTAAAATAATCAAGTTGGAGATGTTTCTAATGTTTTGCGGTAGGTTGTTCCAGATCTCAGGTCCTCGGATTTGCATTTGCCTTGATCTTGTTTCCGTGTATGATTTTGTTTTGACGTGCAGAGAGTTTAATCTGCCTAGTTTGAAAGCATGTTTTGTTACCAATTTTTGAGGGACTTTTAACCATTTTTTTTTAAGTGGGGGGTTATGTGGTCATGTTTATATATGTTGCCTATTGCCACTCTTGCGGCAAAGTTTTGTAGTTTTTGTGCTTTTTGTATTTGAGTTTTGTTGGTTGAGCCTCATATGTTGGGGTAGTAGTTTATAATGATTAGTACAAGTGTTTGTACAACAATAAGTCTCGTCTCAGCGGGGATTTTGTTTTTTTATGTGATTTAGGCATATCAGTGTGCCTATCACCTTTTTGTGAATGTTGTCTATGTGTGTATCTGTCTATGTGTACTCCTAGATTTTTCACGGAAATGCTTGGTTTGATATGATGGTCTTCAAATTCTGACTGTATTTATGGGGATTTTGACTATGTTTTGCCGACTGCCTATAAAGATGCATTGAGTTTTATCGGGATTTAGTTTGAGGCCGTTGTTGCCAAAATACGTCTTTGCTTCTGGAAGAGTCTATTGCGTATTTCTTATCAATTCATATAAATTACTTACAGGGGCAGCATAAAGAAACGTAAAGAGTAGTCAGCATATTGGACAAGGAGACAGTTGTTTGCAATGTTTAATAGATCGTTTATGAATATTTTGAACAAGATCGGGCCTAATATGGAGCCTTGTGGGATACCGAAAGAGACTATTTTTTTAGTTGACATCGAGGTAGTCAAATGATTCAGATGTAGCACGCGGGTGTCTATAGATTGTACCAATAATGAAGGAGGGGTACATACTATTTTGTACCGTTACCCAAATGTCTTCTACAGCTGTAGTATTTACAACTGTGGTGGAAATTACATTTGATTTAAAGATATCCCTTACGTATATGCATACTCCTCCTCGCCTTGCATCACATCTATAAACATTGAAATTTGGAATGTTAATGAAATTACTTGACATTTCTTCATGAAGCCATGTTTCACAAATGCAATGGATGTCGATATTTCTCCCCGTAATCATCATTTCAATTTCTTCAGAGTGACCGAGGAGAGATTGCGCATTGATATGTTCTATTTTGATTGTGTGGCATGATGTGACCTTTGGTTTTGCTGATTGTGTGAGTGCATCAAACAAGCTGATCGCAGGGGGAGGTTGGGGGTGGGGTGCTCGCAGGGGGAGGTGGGCACAGGCGTAGAGGTTGTAT